TGAAATATCGCGATATTTCAGTGTATCGATATTTTCTTACACCCCTATTTACCAATCATTTTTTTAAACAGCTACTTTTACTTTCATTACATTTTAAAGCTAAAAATGATACTTTTACTTCTTTACTTTAAAATGTAACACCTAGTTACTCGTTACAAAACGTGTAACGAGTAACTGTGAGTAACAAGTGTTGAATTTACTCAACTAAGTCATGTCATCTGGCTCCACTGAGACTAAACGAGTAAACAAAGCAAATAATTATATCGCTCATTTTACTCAACCTGACTTAATGGAGCCAGTTTAGTTCAGTAAATTCAACAGTTTATTTCTCAGAGAGTGTAAAAGTACTTTTACTTGTATTTTCCCTATTTTTGTGAACAGTTTTATGACTTTAACTTGAGCAGTTTTCTCATCAGTGAAATTTATTTTTACCCAAATCAGTTTCTGTTCATGTAATTTTACTTTTACTTAGTTATTTTTTTAAAGAACTTTATAGACCTCTGCCATATATAAAGCTTTACATAAAAGGCTTTACAGTTACCGTACAGTATAACAACCCCGCATAGCTTTAATAGGCTTTTCTTATTAAAGCTTTACCGTACGAAACTTTCCCATAACTAAAACCTCAAAACTACTGCAATGACCACGTATAAAGCCGTATTTAATAGACTTTGCAGTTAGCGTAAGGGACTTTTGCTTGCTATACGGTGATGACCACATATAAAATTATGTTTAACAGATGATTACTGTTGGAAACTTAAAAGTTTTGTACAGTCCTGTGGCAACCAAGTTGTATTTATTAGTCTTTGTGGCCATCTAGAGCTTTTCSTTAATGTATGGCAAATTAAAGATCCGTACGGTACTGTGTTGCGCATGAATAGATTAAAAGGTTTTGTACTTAAATTTAGCTTTTTATTATTGTAATGTAACTAAAAGCTTTGTATAGTACAGTTGTGACCATCCAAATAAATTTAACAGGTTTCTGAGTAACTGTATAGGAGCTAAAAAAATTTACGTTATGGTAGTGGCCATGCATCAATTAGATGACCGTACAAAGATAACATTTTTTGTACTATAAAAGCTTTGGACAGTACAGCAATGACCATGAACATGATTATTTATTTACTGTACAGAAATTTTACTTACTGTAGAGTAACAGAAAGCACCGTACGGTACGGTGAGGAGCATTTATTTACGTGTAGATTTGTTCAAAAGAATAAGAATCCTGTAGAGCTTTAATTTACCAAACAGTAATTAGAATCTCTGAATGTTACGGTGATTACCTTGAATATACTAGACCAGTGTTTCCCAAAGTTGGGGTCGGGACCCAAAGTGGGGTCTCAAAACATCAAAGTGGGGTCCTGAAAC